CACAGGCCTGCCCACGTGGACTCGCGGCCGCGCCCGCACCGCGCCGCCGCCGAGCGATCGGACGGGAAACGGGAAACCATCCGAAATAAGTAAGTGTTAGTCGCGGAAAAAATAAGTATATTGGCACGTGCCGGATTAATTATTGTCCCATAATGTGTGCTGCGCCCGCCGCCGCTTCGCTTTTGTGTCCCCGTTACCCCGTGGGGCTGGTGGTGGTGGTGGGGGTCTTGGCCCCCTGCGGCGAGGGGGGCACCGGAAGCAAGGGGGTCGTATGCGAGGCGGGGAGCAGCAGCGAGAGATGCGCGCGGCGGAGGTGTCAGGGGAGAGGAAGTGAGGTTTCCGTCGGGGGAGGGTGGGGGAGACAAGCTCTTCCTAATGAGAAACAAGTAGCTGTGACACTGGCGCCAATGAAAACAGCCGGCGCGCGGAGAGCAGGCAGCTCAACACAAATGTTGGTCGACGAGCCTCTTGCGCTGCTGCTGCTGCCGCGCGTCGGCTCGAATGAGTTCGGCGTTAATCTCTTCTACAGCCAGCGCGGGGCAAGGCGGGGCGTGGGTGACGCGGTTGGAGGAGCCCAGCAGAGGCGCGGCAGAGGCGTTCCCGCGGGACGCGGTGACTGTTTGGACAGACAACAGAATGAGGTGGGGGCCGCGACCGCGAGGGGTGCTGTGCTTCTCTTACATTCCACATGATCCTCGGGTGGGGGTGGTTGGTTGGTTACGCCCCTTGTATCGGTCGGTCGAACGGCAGGTTAAATTGGGCGGCTGCACCGTCACGCCGCCGCCGCCGGGCACGTCACAATGGCGGTGTTGATGAGGCTGACCTGCCGAGCGCACCACGAAGGAGGTCTCCATCGTCCAGGGCGGGGCGCTGCCCCACCCGCGCGCGAAGAACCGGTGAGGAAGGGGGGGGGGGGGCTGGAGTACATGATGATGGTATGGGCCACCTGATGGAGACGCCTCGGCGACGTGACGTGACATGACGTGACGCGGGAGTGACGACGACCTGACAGGCGGCTCGTGGCGTGACGCGGCGGTACCGCAGCCTTCACCGAGCCTCTCATTGCTGCTCGTGGCCCCCCGGCCCCCCAGCCGGCCCGCCGGACACGCGTGCGCTGCGTGTTGCTGGTGTTGCGCGCCCGCAGGCGCCCCGGGCCGGACCCCGCTGCTGCGACGCTCTGGGTTCGTTCGCCTTGTTTGACGCACTTCTCGTTCTGTTGCAGAGCACTGGGGCTACCACCGGCAGGGATCCTGCCAGGCCGGACTGGGCGCGGCCATATCCCAGGTGAGTACAACACAAACGCACACCCTTAGAGACAGGTGACCGTGGGTACGGTTCCAATATCCCCATCTTTCTCGCCTTTCTTTAAATCCCCACGATGTTCGTACTGGACAGGTCACACCTAAGGATTTGAATTTTTCCCCAAAGTGATTTAGGGAAAGTTTTCAAGACTATTTATTTTAAGCCTCTAAATTTTTTCTGTTCCATTCTGTTTTCTAATTTTTCTGGAAATGTTACCAGTTTTTCCGGAATAATGTCGCACTTTGAAATCCCTAGTCACACCTCGTGGGGCAGAGGCGCTCCTTTTAGAGCGGCGGCGACGGTCGTGGCGGGCGTCCCCCCGACTGAGTGATGGCGCACTGCTTGCCGCGTTGCCGCGCCCCACGCGCGCGCCCCGAGCCCCAAATGGCGCGGTTTACACGGCACCGAAGGCGGCGTACTTTACGGCGCGCGCGCGGGGCGCTCCAAAGCGCCCTGTCGTACGATAAAACCGAATACCGGCGCGCTGGTCGTTAGCGCGGGGGGTGCGCCGGCGGCGTGCCGTGAAAGGGCGCCGCCGGCGGGCGCCGGGTCGGCCGGTAGAGGCGCCGCCACCGCCACCCGCCGTGGCCGCGGGCCGCCGCCGCCACCCTCCCGACGCGAAGGGTCTTAACGCACCGCCCTCTTGTGTTACAGGACGGAATGCGACTCTTTATCGGGGCGCCCGGCAGCTGGTACTGGCAAGGTAAGGGGTCGCGGCACTGCTGCGATCATCTCCGTGTCGTGTTGTGTACAATACTTGTATGAAGACGCAGTCATCTGTAAACGTTCTTGGCTCTTGCTTTCTCTGTCCGATACGTTCTATTGCGCGCCATATATCTATACCTATCTCTCTTTCGCTCGCACGGCGCCTAAGTGCGCGCCGCTGTGGGTTACTCACACCTCTAGGTGTGCGTAGTCCTCCCGCCAGCTGTGACATGACGCTTTGCGTACTTTCTCGTGTAAAGTATACATAGTTACGTGGGTTTATAATTTTGTATTGTTGTTACCATGTTTCTTTTCCGTTCTTGCTGAGATGTGAGATGACTTCTCTCTCTCTCTCTCTCTCTCTCTTCTCTGTTTTTTGTGGCGCGAGTCGCCTCTTCCGTTTGCAGGTGGCGGTGAGGGTGGGGTCCCCTCTCTCGGGCTGAAACTCTTTTCGGCGGATTGCTAAGGAAACATTTTGCTTACAGGCCAAGGCTACTATGTAAACACCGCGTACAAGTTCCCCTTCGTTCCGCCGAGGAACATGCCGTACGGCACCGGCGCCGGTTTGCCACCAGGTAAACACCCCAAGAGGCGCCAGTCATCGTAACCCGTAACCCCGACTTATTGACTCATTTTACTAACCGATTTTGGATTTTGGAAGTAACTTAATTATTTTGGTAGGGCTGTACTGAGCGCAATACTGAGCGACTGAGTGCGGTCGAAAAAAATTAATTTGAACTGGTAGTGGCAAATTTACCATCTAAATATGGTGGACATTTAAATAAATTTAATTAATACAATGAATTTCGAAACAGCATCTTGAGATGCCACTAATCTGAAAAAAAAACAAAAACAACAACAGTGCTTGCTTTAGGTGAATTTAGACGGTGAGAGTAACACGGGTGTGATGTTTGAGTGAAATAATTACAGGTGTTGTACATATGGTGTTAGTTTGAGAGAAGTAATCGAAAGTAATCCTGTACATACGGTTTTCTGAGTAGTGCCTCTTTCTTACTTGCGAGATTGAGTTTTAGAGACTCCCTTTCAGTGCTTCGTTTGAAAATTTCCTAGTCTACATTGCAGCTCTGTACATATATATGCTCGTGGATACCACGCCAGTTGCCTGGACTTACCTGGACCGGATCTTTACCTGCCCTGTACTGGTTTGGTGCCGTTTGGTGACTTTGCTGTCCTGCTGATGTTTTTGACTATGGAATTTGGTTTGAGTGCTGTTTCGCGTTATAACTAATAAGGTTGCTGTGATCTCAACTATTCTCATTTTCTTCCAGCTTCAAGGGTGATTTGTAGAGAACTCTGCGGTGCTGGTACAGTGCCTGGTGGAGGATGTTTGTGATGTGCTGTGACTTGCTGCTCATGCGATCAATCTTGTACATATGTGAGATAATGCGAAGGAATCTCCGGCTTGCCGCTCGCCTTTTGCATCCCTAACGCACGTACTGCCAGCTAACGACTTGCCACCAAAACCTCACTGATGGGGGAAGTTTGATGCAATTAAATCATGTTTATACAACAAAAAAATGTATAAACAAAGGTCTTTGGGCGACTTCATACTCTGACCAGTGGCCTTATTTTGACAGAGCCAGCTCCCCTACAATCCTTTGCACCTATTCCTGCGTATCCTACCCATCCTTCCTAAATATCCCCCCACCCCCCCCCACGCCTTTCCAACGTCGATTCTCGTATGATTTGTGCTGACGTTTTTCCTGACGTGCTGCAGGCCAGGTGCACTCGGAGTCCGTCGAGGAGGGTGGTGTCGTGGTGGCGACTGGCGAGGGGTCCTCCGTGGACGACGACTCGTACCTGGGTTACTCTGCCACATCGGGGGACTTCGACGGCAACGGTGTCGTTGACGTGGCCTTCGGCATGCCGCGCGGCAGCAGCCTGATGGGCAGGGTGAGTTTGACCGTAATAACGCCGGGCTCCACGTCCTCCATCTCTCTCTTTGCTCTGGACCGCCTCTCTAACATCACCGCCCGTCGCGCGCGCCGCGCTCTCCGCAGGTGGTGGTGTACTCGTGGAACCTGGTGAACCTGTTCAACCGCACGGGCGACCAGATGGGGTCGTACTTCGCGTACGCGCTCGCCGCCGTCGACGTGGACGGCGACGGCCTCGACGACCTGGTGATCGGCGCCCCCCTGTTTACGCACTACGACAACAACGACGGCAAGTACGAGACCGGCCGCGTGTACGTCATCTACCAGGGCAGCGGCGCGGAGAAGTCCAAGTTCAGGGAGGTGACCACCCTGGACGGCAAGAACTCCAAGGCCCGCTTCGGCATGGCCCTGTGCTCCCTAGGCGACGTCAACAAGGACGGCTTCGGCGGTGAGTCACGGTCGTCCTCGCTGCTTCAGTTCTGGAGGCGTCTCTTTTTAATCCTAACGTACTTTCTGTTCCTCTCCTTGGCCTCGCAGACTTTGCGGTGGGAGCGCCCTACGATGGCGTCAAAGAGCGCGGAGCGGTCTACATCTACCACGGCTCCAAGGACGGCGTCATGGAGAAGGCCTCGCAGGTGATCCTCGCCGAGGACATCAACCACCAGCTCTCCACGTTCGGCTTCTCCCTGTCTGGAGGCCTCGACCTGGACAACAACGAGTACCCGGACCTGGCTGTCGGGGCGTACGACTCCGACTCGGCCGTCTTCTTCCGGTAAGTTCCCTGTCGTTCCGTGTCCGCTGCCGCCGCACACACGCCGCACGCCGGACATTCCTCTATTTCCACTGCTCTTGCCGCTCAGGTCGCGCCCCGTGGTCAAGATGACGGGGCAGGTCGCCTTCAGCCTGGACTCGAAGCAGATCAGCCTGGACCAGAGGAACTGCACGCTGCGCGACGGCACTCGCGTGTCGTGCGTGCCGCTCAACGCCTACCTCAAGTACGGCGGCGTCAACGTGGACGACTCGATCGGTAAGGCTTGGAGACTTTGGTTGCCCGAACTGGGACACCGTGAGCACCACGAGCATCACACGCGTGTCCGTTACAGAGCTGGAGGTGCAGTTCGTGCTGGACGCGAGGAAGCCCAAGGGACCGCGAATGTTCTTCGTGTCCGACTCGGGTCGCAACAGCCTCAACCAGACCGTGCGCCTGGACAAGAACGTCCTCTTCCAGAAGAGCATGTTCGTGTACATCAAGGTGGGTAGACGACGAGTGTGCAAGCCTGTTATGGTTCTCGATCCTCCGCTCACTCTCTGACGCGTGCGTTGCCTTCTTCCCCGCAGCCCGACCTGCGCGACAAGCTGACGCCCCTCGACGCCGAGATGCGCTACAGCATGCAGACGCGACGCGTGAGCAGCGCGCTGCCGCCCATCCTGGACCAGGACGCGCCGCCCGTGCAGAGGGACTCCATCAGCATCCAGAAGAACTGCGGCCGCGACAACGTGTGCATCCCGGACCTGCAGCTCGTCGCCTCCTCGTGAGTATGCAGTTGTGCCGTTCGAACTAGCGCGCGCTCCGCGGGGCGGGTGCGGCCGCTCGCCGCGGGGCCGCGCCACGTCGCGGTGGCCGCGGGGCGCTCGCGGCAGTGCTCGCGTCCGCCGCGAGGTGGCGCCACCGCGCTGCCCCGTCGCGCGCGCGCTCGCCGCTGGCGGGGCTCGTCGCCGGGCCCCCGCTACAAGTGGGCGACCCGGCGGCCCTCCCGCCGGCTGGGAGTCGCGGCGCGCTCCTGTAATCCAGCTACTTGGAGGCCGGGTGCAGAGGATGGTTTGAGGTCGGGAGTCCTGTCGTGCAGTCGTCCTGCGACGACTGGGCGTCCGCACTAAGCTCGTCATCGATATGGGTACCCTGGAGGAGTCCGGGGTAGCCAGGTCGGCTAAGGAGGGGCGAATCGGGCCAGGGGGGTAACCCAGCAGCCAAAAGTCCCCGTGGTGTGCAGTAGTGGGACCGCGCCTGGGAGTAGGACCTGCATGGCAGCCCGACCAATAGAGTCAGACCTGTACCTTTTGCCACTTTTCAGTGTCGACTTTGATTTTCTTACGATTTTATTTGTAAGCTCACATTCTTTACTATTTTAAATAGACACTTTATCAAATGTTATGTTTTTTGCAGGAATGTGTCGAAGTACTTGCTGGACTCGGAGCAGCTCCTCGCCATCGACGTGCAGGTGCGGAACGACGGCGAGGACGCGTTCGAGACCACGTACGAGATGAAGATCCCCACCGGCATGGACTACAAGAGGATCCAGATGCTCGACAAGGGCGAGCGCGAGATCCCCGTGCTGTGCTCGCCGCCTAGCGTCAACAACAACAACACGCTCCGCTGCGACATCGGCAACCCCCTGCCCAAGAACAAGCAGGTGCACTTCAAGGTGCTGCTGCAGCCGTTCCACCGCGAGGGCATGGCGCAGAGCTACGAGCTTAGCATGGCGGTCAACAGCACCAACCCGGAGAACAAGAACTCGCTCGCCGACAACGCCAAGAACATCGTCATCCCGATCCACGTGGACACGAGCCTCATACTAGAGGGGTGAGTACAGGCCTAGGTTCCCTAACCCAACCCCCCCGTGCCGCAAGCAAGGGGCAACCTCCCCCCTTTGCCCCGCAGCACCTCACACCCGTCCGACCTCCACTTCAACACAACGCAGTACCGCTCCGAGGCTCTGGCGGCCGGCGTCAGCGAGTCGGAGATCGGTCCGCAGGTGGTGCACGTGTACAGCATCCGCAACAAGGGCCCGTCCGGCATCAAGGAGGCGCAGGCCGACTTCCTGTGGCCCGCCTACACGCTGTCGGGCGAACCGCTGCTGTACCTGCTGGAGCAGCCCGAGACCAGCGGGCCCGTCAAGTGCCAGTTCGCCGAGGAGGTGAACCCGCTGGGCCTGGTGCTGGAGCGCAGGAGCAAGTCATTCCTCGAGTCCAGCATCTACGGCGCCCTCGGCTCCAGCGGCCGGCGAGGTGAGTAGGCTGCGGGGGATGGCGGGAGCGCCTGGCGGATAGGAAGCGCGCGCGCAGCCTTGCGTGGCGTTGCCTATCCTCCAGGCGGCGGGTAGGCAGCGAGCGTGCAGCCGTGCATGGCGTTGCCTATGCTCCAGGCGGTGGTGCTCATGGACACGTTCCTCTCTTGCGCAGGCGGGGAGATCACGGAGGAGGAGCGACTCGGCATCGAGCAGGAGCATCGCGAGGAGGTGCTGGAGACGAGCGGGCGCCGTCAGCACGGCGGCGGCTACCGATCCCAGTCCGAGTCCACCCACTACGAGAGCCGCAGCGGTGGCGCGGCCGTCGGCGCGTCCAGCCAGGCGGGCGTGCGCGCGGGCGCTGTTGGCGGCGCGGGCGTCAGGAACCGCGGCCGCGGGGGCAGTCGCACCGAGTCCTCGTACGAGGCCGAGTACGAGCGCGGTGGTAGCAGCGCTGTGCAGGGCGGCGGCGCCACCGTCGTGGAGGGCTCCTACCGGGGCAGCACCGCCCACCAGGCCTCAGCCGGACGTCACTTCGAGGCAGAGCACAGCTCGGCCCAGGCTGGGGGCCGGCGCGTCAATGTCCAGGGCGGAGGTAGCCGCGTGGAGGTGCAGGGCGCAGGCGGGCGCTTCGAATCGGAGTCGGGTTCGTCGCAAGCCGGAGGCCGGCGTTACGAGTCCGGCACATCAGTGGTCGGAGGTGGGCGCACCGTCATGGTGGACCACACCATAGAGTCTGGCTCGTCCATGCGCGGCCAGGGCGCCGTGTCCGCGACCACGGCCTCCTCCACGTCGAGGCGCACGGGCTACGAGGGCGGCGGCAGTTACGAGTACGGCGCCGGCGGCGCGAGGACGTACTCGCACGAGACTTCTCAGTCAAGCAACTCGTCGTGGAGCTCCGAGGACGGCGGCCGGCCGCGCGTCCACAGCTCGTCTTCCTGGCGGTCCGAACAGGACGGCGTGGTGCGCGAGGGCAGCTCGTCCACGGTCGGCTACGCTGACCGGGAGCTCGAGGAGCGGCAGCTCGAGCAGCGTCGTCGCTACGAAGCGGAGGTGCGGCGCTACGAGGAGGAGAGGCTCCGCGTCGAGGAAGACCGGCGGCGCATCGAGGCGGAGCACCGGCGCGTCGAGGAGGAGCGGCGACGCATGGAGGAGGAGCGACGACGCGCCGAGGTGTACGGCCAGTCCGGGTACTCCGGGGCCGGGTACTCCGGTGCCGGGTATTCCGGATACGCCGGCTACAACCAGTCGCACGCCACGCACTACGAGGGCGGGCGCGGGTCAGCGGCCGGGGCTGCTGCGGCGGGCTACGGCTCTGTGCGCTCCTCCTCCGCGTCATCCTCGTCTGCGGCCAGCACGAGCAGCCGCGGAAGCAGCAGCAGCAGTGGCGGCGGCGTGAGCGTGGCCGCGGCGGCCGGTGGCGCGGGCGGCTCCGACAGCGTGGCCAACCTGCGTCCTCGCGGCGGCGGCGGCTCCGCGTCCAGCTCGTCCGGCTCAGAAGACACGAGCCACTTCGCCTGGGAGGCCGCCGCCCTGAACCCGGCGTCCGCGGCCGGCAAGACGCCGTACGGGACCCCGGCTCACACTACCGTCCTGGACCTGGGCGTGGACGCGGCTGGCCTGCGGGGCGCCATCCAGGGCCAGGGTCGCGGCCAGTCTGGCAGGCAGGGCTCCGTCACCGTCACGGGCTCGCGGACCTACGAGGCCGAGTACGAGGACGAGGGCGAGGCCCGGGCCGCGGCTGGCCGCCAGTACGGCGGGCGCGCCGGGGCCGCCGCCGCAGCCGGGTCCGCCGGCCGCAGCGAGTGGTCCTCGGCCTCGTCGTCATCGTCGTCGTCGCACCACGCCGCGGGCGCGGCCCTCACCAAGGACGAGGAGTACCAGCGGCGGGAGGACGCCAAGTACTACAGCGGCAACTACCAGCACTCAAGCCACGCGGACGAGGGCAACGGCCTAGTGGACGGGAAGACATCCGACGTTCAGAACCGGTAAGGGCAGGTCTATTGTGCAGTATGCTTGGTGGCGTTATTTTTATTATGAACTTTACTTAATTATTTTTTTTTCCCCCGTAATGTTACAGATTTAAACTCTATCAGAGAATTCGGCGAGATACTGACGGTTATTCAGATGACGACGATAATTCTCGATTCGATTATGACGTGCCAGAATGTAACCCAGTCAAGTGCGTACGCCTGCGGTGCAGCGTTGGCCCGCTCCTAAGAGATCAAGAGGCTTATGTTGCCATTCGATCCCGTCTCGTTGTGTCCACCATAAAGAAGGTATATCATCACAAATTGTTTCTTCAGTTACACATGCCTCTTGAAATGTAAAGTACATATGAATTTTGTCCTTTTTTTGACAGATTTCATCCACTGAGGAGTTAAGATTATCATCTATGTTATCTTCCCGCATCACTAAACTTCCTACCATTCAACGGGTAGACAATACTGAAAGACATCAACATGAAGTTTTCACCCAAGTCATTCCATCAGATCTAGCAGTCAAACCAGATATTGTTCCACTATGGGTTGTGGTCCTCTCAGCGTTTGCCGGAACTCTCATTCTATTATTATTAATTTTCTTACTGTGGAAGGTAAGTGATTTTTCGCATCTAAAATGTCTAAGTATTTTTATGTGACAACATTTTAATATGAGCCAACAATTTTTAAAGAGATTTTGACAAGTTTTTTTTTTCTGATTTTCAGTGTGGATTCTTCAAACGTAACCGTCCAAGCAATGCTCCTGAAAAGGAACCTCTGAATCGAAATGGTCATTACCAGTCTGGAGATGAAGCTTTGTGACAGAGGTTCTAATTGTACCTTTACCCCATGACTCAAAATTAAAACAATCGGGGTGATTCTCTTTAAAGTGGTAATGTTCATCTCAACAAGTTGTTGGTTGGATTTGCCTCAACTAAAGTGGCCTGATTCAATTGGTCTCTTTGGTATTTATGAACTGACTGGTGCAGGACCACCGGTAACGTCAATAATTAGTCAACTAATAATTTATATGAAAGAAACAATTATGTTTATGTGTGAGTGAGTGACTGAGAAAGTGTGTGCGCGTGTGTGTGTGTGTAAATATGAGTGTGTAAGTTATGTTGAAGGTATAAATGTGATGTACATTTTTAAAGATGATTTTACATATGAATGTATTAAAATGAGTGCTTGAATGTATGACTCTGTGATCTGTAAAAATAATAACTATGGTGCTCTTTAGCAAGTTGTTGTGCCATCTGTGTACATTTCAAAGTGTTCCGCATACCGAATGGCACAAAACTAGTAGCATTTACTAAACTGTACTCTCTTCACTAACCATATTGACTTCTTGTCTACAATTGTTAAAAAAAAACATCCGCTTCAATATGTTATCATTCTATGTTCTAGGCCTCTATTATACAAATGACATGTTTAAAACATCACTTAACTTATAAAGGATACAGTATTCAAATATTTAAGGAGATACCTTTCCTTGGCAGCTGAATCTCAATTAAAGAGAAATTCTTTTGTCATCTCTTCATTAGAATATCTCAAATGTGAATTGAAGTTTAAAGCAATAATCCAATATCTAATTTTTATGTGTCCGTTAAAAAGAGCACTGATTCTAAACATGTACCACTGTTTTAGGTTGAAAGGCAAAGCTCAAAATGTGACCCAAAGAATGTAATTAGTCATGTGTGTTTTGGACTCAAAACACTGTCCTGAAATATAATTGCACAATTTAAAGATTCTAAACTACAAATATCCAAGCTGCATAGATTTTTGGACTGCCTGCTAGAATGTTGGACATTTATTATTTTCTTGAAGACTGAACAGTTTTCCTCAAGACAAGGCCTCAAGAGCAGGTCAAATGCTGCCACCTAGTGTAATCTTTGGTGATTAAAGAAGGTTGGAGTACTGGTGTGTACTTTGAGCTACATGGTTTTTGACAGGAGTTTGTGTGTGATGTATCACTTCCCTACAAATGAAACTATATTAGATTGCTGTGCTTATTGGATCTCAAAGGCCATTTTCAAGTTTAAGGGGTGTTTGTACAAAGATTTGTCATGTATTCTAGCACTTGTTCATTTATGTTATCAATGAGTGCTTAGTGTGATGTGTCCCTAAGGTCTGTTTACTTCAAGAAAATATAGTATTTTCCAACCAATACAAAAATTTCTGAAATGGTGAAAGTCTGTGTTAGTGTGAAAGATACTAGTCTCTATACTTTGTTGTATCAAATTTGATTCAAAAGAAATATGTTTAAGGACTCACTGCCTTCTGATTAATAAAAATAAATGAATTTTAATGGCAGTGTCGAAGTATTTTGAGTTATTTTTTTTAGCAAACAAAATAAAGTTTTTTCCGTTAAAGTCTTTGTTTCAGATTAACAAACTGTGAATAATTTGTTGCTTATTTAATAACAATGATGAAAGTTGTCTTGTTACATACTTAGTTTAATTAGTTGAAAAAGATGAAATTATTTAAGTTAAGGTTGTTTGTACTTACAAGTTCCTCACAATAATTTTTACCTCACTAAAATACAAATGTGGAAACAGCTGTTCAATTATTATTTTGAGAAGGTGATGATCTGAATTATTTGTGTTTTTACAAGAGCATTCATCATAGTTTTATGTGTCCTTTGTTGCCCTCATTAATTGTAATGAGTTGTCTTTTGGGGAGCAGTGAGAAAAGCACCTCATACTTACCTAGTGCCAATCTTAACCGCCATAATTACTGCATGGAGTTCTGTTCTCACTCTCACCACAAGACCTCGAAGGGTACTTGTGATTACTAGGTTTATTTATTTAACTGAGTGCAACTACAATTTCTTCCTCTTTTAACTCTGGTATTTTTGCCTTACTGTAAGAGCATTAATGCGAAAGAGCTAATGTCAATCATTGTACAGTCTAAAAAATTCAATTTATTCACTTTCTAGGCCTGTAATCAAATATTTTCTAGTACTTTTATCATGGTTAAAATTCCTCAGCTTCACACAATCTGTATTTATGTACTCGTGTACTCATGATCATTTCATAGAGATAAATATAGTATTTATGAAAATAAATTAATGAAAGACTTAATTTTTGTTGTGTACATTTATAATGTGTTTACTAAACCTAATTATTGATGTAAATAAAAATGAATCAAGGAGTAACTTAAAATCTGAATTGGGGCGTTTTCTTTTGAACCTGTCACTCCCTCGCAAGAAAACATATGGTCAAAAATCGGATTCTTGACAGGGTACGTTCCCGAGTAAAGCCATGTGAAGAGCCCCGATACCGCGGTTAGGATTTAGGACGCTAACCCCAGGGTTCGACTCATCGCGGCGTTGCGGCCGCTGGCCGACGCGAACCCTGGGCGAGCAGCGCCGAGTACCGAGTCCGGTTACATAATGGTGCGAAAATGCGGCTTTCGCGAACGGGCGGGGAGGGGGTATAGGGTGAGGGGGTGCTGATCTCATGTTATTCTGTTGTGTGCCATGTTGGGGCCTAACTTGCTGGAAGTAGTCAAATCAGGCGAGACGTGAACGCCTGCTGTTGCTTCAGGGCCCTGAAAAATAGGCAACCCACCCGCATACATGCATGCGGTACAGTCAGTGTCACCCACCCTGCGCAACTCTCAGCAGCCTATGGTGATCGTGCTGAAAGTACGTCCGTTTTTTTGCTCCATTCGGCAAATGGCTCGCTCGCCGCCTGCGAGACTCGGGGTAGACCACCCCGCCGTACACGCGAGCACTGCAGGCAAGATGTGGCCTACCCACCAGGCGCCATGAGACCTTTCAGAGGCGGCTGAGCTTGGCATGTTCGTAACGGAGAATGACGGACGCATTCTCTGGGTACATCCCATGGGCCGTTCGTCTCGGCTCGCTGTCCTGCAACTCACAAGGGGGCATTTTGTATAGTCCAGGTCGCGGTCCGGGACGCCCTCCCTCGGTGACCCACCTGAGTGGCACAATGTGCGTCGCTCAGTAGTTGTGTGCGGTCACGTGGGCAGCCTAACTGCTCACACCGTACAGGTATAGCATTGGCCTGGGCTCGGATTACCGTCCCAACTGTGCCCTACGTTCGGAGTATACCGCTTCTAGGCGATGGTGACTAGCGATGAATGTGCACACCTGGAGCTAAACAGAGAGCAGAAGGGGTGCCAAGCATTTGCGAACCCACGGACAGGACGGCACTAGCCTACCGCAGGGGATGGGCCGGACCCGGCCTGACAGCGTGACTCGAGAAATGGGTGTGGCTCCAGTTCGCTATGAACAAGCAGTCGTTATAACCCTCGTTGAAGTTGAAGTGAAGTGCAGTGCCGGTGTGACGGCGGTAGTCCTGGTGGCCCAGTGGCCTTGTCACCCAGAGGCGCCGCCACCGCCACTGCATGCGCGCCGCCGGGCTTAGACCCCTGACAGATAACCCAACTGTTTTTTGTGAGGGAATGTCCAAGCAGCGAGTAGCCTGATCCTTGGCGTGACGTAGGCGCTGATTAGGGGGGTGGGGAGAGGGAGAGGGGCTGCTGTCCGGTCGGACGGAGTCTACATATACTCCGACGGTGCCCGGACGGCGCCGGTTAGGGTTGGTCTTCGGGCTGATTCGCCGTCAACATGGCGCTCCCGGACGTCAGGTACAGTAGCGCCCACCGGCCGGGCCACCCTCCTCCACACCGCCCCAGCTCCGTTCGGTTCGGCCGTGCGCTTTCACCGTTCCGCGGGTTTTGTTTTGAACCGAGCGCGCGCGCCATCGACTTTTCCCCCCCTCTTTGCTCGTGCGATATGCTCATCGTGTGTGGTGACCCCGGAACTGTGAGCGCGTGTCTGTGCTCCGGCGGCGGAATAAAATATGTGGCGTTGCGGGGCAGAATTTTGGGGAATTTTGCGGGTTTGATGATCGCGCGTGCGTGCAAGTCCCACATTTATCAGTGGCGCGTGCGGATCAGATGTCTCACAATAATTGCAGACTCACCGAGAGGCGATTAGGTCGCGACAGTTGTTAATCTGGGCGCCTCGATTGGGGCGTTATCTCCGCCTTACCTGGATGTTATAAAGCCTGGGGTGATCCGCGCGCGGCACGCGGGGGGGCCGCTAATCTCCTGCCAATGGGACGTAATCCCTACATGATAGCCGGGCGGCTACTCTGGGATTAATCAGATAGGCACAAAAGTTAAGAGAAAATCCTTTGCAGGATTCATGTTTTGTTGCAAGATTGTTTTTTTCCAATTTTTTTTTCTTTTCTTTTTTTTTTCGGAGAAGGGTTAGTGGGGCATGGTTACAGTTTAGTAAAATTACCATAACGATTTTAAAAAAAAATACTCTGATGCACACACAGGTGGGGCCATGGCTGCCTGGCAGCAGGGCTGCTCCTGGCAGTGGCAGTGGCCACGGCGCAAGCCGCACCCCCGGGCGGGGACTACCGCCTGTCCGGGGACTACGTCCCCACCCACTACAAGCTCAAGATGGTGCCGTACCTGGAGGAGAACAACATGCGCTACACCGGCACGGTCGACATCACGATCAAGGTGGCCGCGGCCACCGGCAAAATGAGCGAAATGACCCTGCACGCCCACAAGGACCTCGCCATCAAGGTGGACAGCCTCGTCGACACCGCGACTAAGACATCTCACCTGTCACCTAAAGACCCAGTGTTTAGCAACGACGACAAGCAGTTCTTTACGATCTACTTGAACAATCCAGCCAAGATGGGCGACGAGTATCTCTTGTCGATGTCGTTTTCGAGTCCGCTAAAAATGGACAACTACGGCTTCTATGTCAGCTCGTACAAAGTTAACGGGACGACCGAGTAAGTAAAGAAAGAGAACGCGCATACTGTCGTGGATTTCGTGTTTCAAACCTGCGAACTCCGCCGTCTACTCCTCAGGTACATGGCGACGACGCACTTCGAGGCGACGAGCGCGCGCAAGGCCTTCCCCTGCTTCGACGAGCCGTTGTACCGCGCAACCTTCGACATTGCGGTGGCCAAGCTAGACGACGAGATCGCGCTGTCCAACATGCCCCCCGTGGGTGAGCCCTCCAAATACGAGTGAGTACGCACCCCGGCCACCGCCAGGCTCCAGGTCAGGCTCCAGATCCAGGCCAGCCTCCAGGTCAAGCGACGGCCCGCGTCTCACACGCCTTTGCTCCGCCCTCACCAGCCCAACGATCGGCAACCGCCGGTGGGTGACGTTCAAGCGGACCCCCGAGATGCCGACCTACCTCGTGGCCTTCGTCGTGTCCAAGCTGAAGAAGGTGAACACGACCAGTGACAAGATCAACATCTACGTCCGCGAGGGAGCCGAGAACGGCGTGACCGAGGCCCGCACCGTGGTGCCCAAGCTCCTGAGGTTCCTGGAGAACTTCATGGGCGTCGCCTACCCGCTACCGAAGCTCGACTTGGTCGCCATCCCGGACTTCCCTGCCGGCGCCATGGAGAACTGGGGACTTATCACATTCAAGTAAGCCCCCCTCCCTCCACCTAGCCAAGTACACACACACACATCGTTATCGCCTTAAACTCATGTCGCCGTGATCCCCAGGGAGGACATGCTCCTCGTGTCCGAACTCTCGGCCGCCGACCGCCTGGCCGAGTCCCTCCGCGTCATCACCCACGAGTTCGCCCACCTGTGGTTCGGCGACTACGTCACGCTGCAGTGGTGGAACACCATCTGGCAGCAGGAGGGCATGGCGGCCTTCATGGAGTCGTACGCCCTGGACGGGGTAGGTGCTGACGCCGTTGATCTGGCGCTCCAGGTTCATGGGGGTGGGGGAGGGGGGTTGTTCTAATGGAGAGGTACCTACTTCACTCAAAATAATCAGTGTACACCCACCGAAAAAATAAGAAAAATCAGAAAAAGTCAATTAAAAATTAATTTAAAACAAACTTAGAAAAACAGGAAAAAATCAGATAAGTTCAGAAAAATTCAGAAAACAACTCAATCAAGAAAAAGCATAAAAATCGGTGTACGCTTGAATTTGAAGTGAAGTACCGGAAGTACCACGCTCGATTTTCATCCCCGTGTCTTGTCTACAGGCCACAGGCGACGCGTACCAGGCCATGTCGCGCCTTGGCACCAGCCGGGTGCAGTCGGCCCTGGACGCGGACTCCCTGGAGCACTCCCCTCCACTGACAAAGGACGACATCCAAACGCCGGACCAGATTGAAGACCACTTCGGCGTCATCACCTACTCGAAGGGCAGCAACATCCACTACATGCTGCTCAACATTCTCGGGACCACGGTGTACAGGAATGGCCTGCAAAACTACCTCAGCACAAAGTGAGTCCCGGTCCCGGAACGGCGTTTGATGTCCCGACAGAATGATGGTAATAAAGTGAGATTCTCAACCGTGTTTCTCAGCAAGTACAAGTCGACCACTCCGGATGACTTCGCGGCAGCCCTGCAGGAGAGCGCGGACGAGAAACCGTGGCCCCTCAAGGACTCAATCACCATCAAGGCTGTCATAGACTCGTGGGCACTGAAGCCCGGATACCCTGTGCTCACTGTCCTCAGAGACTACGAGAGCGCGAAACCGCAGGCTGTGGTTTCCCAGGTTTGTAAAGTTATATTTGTAGACTGATGCTACATGTCTAAAGTTTTAACAAACAAAAAAAAAAAAGAAAGAAAAAACTGCCCCAGATACCATTTGCCCGTTTTTTTCCTTTCTTCAGAAAAGATTCCTTGCGCACGAGCCGTCTGATCCTGCAGCACTCGACAGCAAATGGGTGATCCCCATCTCATTCAACAGTGTTTACGATGACGAGTCTGAGTTCACCAACGTGCTGCAGGAGTCAGACGATGAGAAGACCATGGACTTGCCGTCGTCCCTGCTACCAAACAACTATCTGTACATCAACAAGGAACAGGCCGGTAAGTTACACTCAGACACACTCCAAGTGGCTGGAGTTTCCACTGCACCCCATGCAGGGGGTAACAGAGAAACCCAGAGTGCCATGTGATAGTCGCAGCAAATAAAATAACGCGTGCACACTGTCATTTACCAGGCTTCTACCGTGTCAACTACGACATCCGCAACTGGATGAACCTCGCCAAGGGCGCCTCGCGCCTCGACGCGGCCTCCCGCGCCACCCTCATCGACGACCTGTACGCGCTGAACCGCGCCGGCCTCGTGGACACGTGGATCGTGCTGTGGCACCTGCAGAGCACCCTGGGCGACACCTCCAGGAGCGGGGAGAGGGACATGGCGCCCTGGATCACCGCGGCCAAGGTCATCAACGGCTACAACGCCCTCGCGCGCGGCGACCCGGAGCTCACCACTTACCTCCAGGTACGTTAGGTTAGGTTACGTCAAACCACGGTATTTCTCTCGGTGAAACAACCCCGTGACACTTTGACTCCGTCCTCGTCCCAGACCTACCTCTCCGCCATCCTGAGACCGGCCTTTGAGTCCATCGGCTGGACGAGCGACGACGACACCGAGGCCGACAGCTACCAGCGCTCCGTCGTGCGCGACATCATCACGCAGCTGGCCTGCGGCGCCGGCCTGGCCGAGTGCAGGAGACAAGCTCTCCGGACCTTCGCCTACCAGTACAACGACGACAACGACGACAACACGTAAGTGTCGAGCCTCGCACCTCGCACATCAAAGGACGCTAGGGACAAAAATGACACGAAATAATGGGTAACTTGCCCTGACGTGAGTGGCGGAGCTTAGTGGAAAACGAAACAAAGCACCATAACCTACAATAAAAATGCTTTTAAATCGCGGTTTCAGTTCTTTTCTGTAATTATGTGCTATCGAAACCCATAGATGTTTATAAAGGCTGCACTTTAATCGAAACAATGTCAAATACTACCTTTCTGTCCGTAAAGTGTTCTTCGTGTGGGGCTCGTGCGTTGTTGTGTTTTCACGTCACGCTCCGCTTCTCTGGACAAGTTGTCCATTTAAAGAAAATGCGTAACTATTTTAATACACACACGTCATCACGTGGGATTCTCTTTTAACAATGCAAACATCTTTTTCCAGCTTTGACCCCAACGTGCTCACCGCGACCCTGTGCATGGGAGTCAAGACTATGTACCCCGCCTACGCGACGGAGCTCGTGGATCTCGCGGTGAACACCGAGGACGTGACCACCAAGGCGTCTTACCTGCGCGCCGCGGGCTGCACCAAGCAGAGCGACATCGTCCAAACGTGAGCCCGCTACCGCCCTTGCCGCTTGACCCTTGACCTCACAAGGGCGCAGGCGACAATCGCCCCCTCTGAAGTGATAGATTTAAAACTCTTTTCTCTTCAACCCTCCGCAGTCCCTAATATATATTTTTATTTTTTTAAACTACGCTTTAATGCCGTGCCCTCCAGACTGCTCGGCTACACGACAAAGGCGGACAGCGGGTTGAGCTCCAGCGAGGTGCTGGCCATCCTGAAGTCCATCATGGACCACGGCGCCGACGGCTGCGACACCGTCCTCACCTTCGTCGCCGCTAACTACGACAACATCGTGGCCGAGTTAGTATATTGGTTACGACGTTAGTCCCCCCCTTGGCCTCAGGATGGTTCTTACTAATGCTATTTTATTGTTCCCCCTTCAGCCGCGAGTCCATTCTTCTGGAGATTGCAAAGAGGATTTACAATCAGGCGCAGCTGGACAAGGTAGTGGCAATGACCCGCGACAGCGCTACTGTCCTATACGTTGTGCGTGTGCAGAAAGCAAGTTGTATAGCCATGCTATAGCTCTGAACCCCTTTCCCCTATGCTTCAGATCAACACCATCGCCAGCAGCGATCCGAAGAATGACAACGTGAAGGACATTGCAGGCGTTGCCAAATCCACGCTCAACTGGGTGACTGAGAACTTGCGCGAGATGAAGCAGTGGGTCAGCGCGCAGGCGGGCGTCATCCCGCCAAGGCCCCCGATGCTCACCCCGGACAACTCCAAGGTCCCCACCGTCGCGCCGCCGACGGCCGAGCCACGGCCCACCGAGCCGCCCAAGGTCACCAGCGAGTGGCTGCTGCCCGATGACCTGGAGCCCGAAACCTACGTGCTGGACATCGACACCCAGTTTGGCGACGACCCCGACGTCTATCCCGAGGATTTCAAATTCAGCGGCAAGGTGGTCATCAACTTCAAGGTCATAACGAGCACGGCGAAAATCGTCTTGCACAAGCACGAGTCGCTCACGATCGACAACGACAAAATAGCGGTGGTCAAAAGCGACGATAATACACCCGTGCTGCTCAGCGGCGATCCCACCTACACCGAGGAGAAGGAGTTCTTCAACATCATGCTGAGCGAGGACCTCAAGGAGGGCTCCAGTTACACCGTGACCCTCGTGTTCAGCGGCCCCCTCAAGAAGGACCTGGCTGGCCTATATCTCTCGTCCTACACGGTGAACACAGTCACCAAGTGAGTGTGTCTTCTCCCCCTTCACCGTCACTGCTCCGATATTCCTCGATGCTCTGGACTCTGTCTTTATATCGCCCGCCTGTCGCAGGTTCCTGGCCGTGACGCAGTTCGAGCAGACGAGCGCGCGCAAGGCGTTCCCCTGTTGGGACGAGCCCAAGTACCGCGCCACGTTCAAGATCAGCATCACACACGACAGCACCTTCGGCGCCCTGTCCAACATGGCCGTCACGAGCACCACCAAGAAAATTGGGTGAGAAACTGACCTCGCACTGACCTGTGTTATATTTGTACTCCTCTTGTACTCGCGAACATTTGCTGACGAAACGTTGTACCAGGTGGCTTTAGTTATGCTGTACCGCACGCGCGATTGCGGACGGGTTGCCTACCCGCTCAGCTCGTAAGGCGCCGTGGACAGGAGCGATAGGCAAGCCCACCCGCGCACGTGCGTGCGGTACAGCCTAACTACAGAAGTGAGCGGGGTTAATCATGCAGCCACCTGGTATGTAGTTTACAAACCTATTCACGTGTGGCATTTGCCTTTGTTCCGGTTGCTCTGCAGGGCACCACGCTCCACGACGATCTTCGGCGAGTCGCCGCGCATGCCCACCTACCTGGTCGCGCTGCTGGTCTCCGAACTCCAGGAGGTGCCGGTGCAGGACGCGAACCCCAAGATCAGCATCTGGGTGCGCGACGGCGCGCAGGACGACGTGAACCTCGCCAAGGCCCTCGCCCCCAAGGTCCTGAGGAAGCTGGAGGACCTGACGGGCATCCCGTACCCTCTGGCCAAGCTGGACCTGGCCGCGATCCCAGACTTCGCCCCGGGCGCCATGGAGAACTGGGGGCTCATCACCTTCAAGGACACGGTGCTGCGCACGCCCAAGGGCGCGCTCGCGCACCGCCGCTTCAACTGCGCGCGCGACATCACGCACGAGTTCTCGCACCTGTGGTTCGGAGACCTGGTCACCAACAACTGGTGGAGCTCGCTGTGGCAGCAGGAGGGCATGGCCGCCTTCATGGAGGCGTGGGTGCTGGACCAGGCCACCGACTACGAGTACGACGCCGTGTCCCGCCAGAGCGTGGACCGCATCGAGCAGGGCCTCATGGACGACGCCCTAGAGACGTCCGGCCCCATCACGAACCACACGGTGGGCAGCCCGCAGGAGATCGAGGAGCACGCGGGCGAGACCACCTACAACAAGGGCGCCGGCTTCCTCAGGATGATCCGGGCGATCCTCGGCGAGAGCACCATGTGGAACGGGCTGCGGAAGTACCTGCGCGCGCAGTAAGTCAAATGCCGTGCCGGGCGTCATTGCGCACGCCCGGCGTTGCACTGTTATTTTCGGTTATTATTTTATTTGGATGAAAAGTGAAAACAAAAATTTATCAAGTCGGTAGATTTTTCATGCAAATATACTTGGCAGTAATCTCTTGCGGCAACACATGTGCCTATCTCAAACGGCCCCTTTGTTTTCTGCAGCGCCTACTCGACGGCTGGCCCGGACGACCTGGCGGCGGCCTTCCAGGAGGCGGCCGACGAGGCCATGATCAGCCTCCCCGTCAGCATCAAGGACATCATGGACTCGTGGACGCTCAAGAAGGGGTACCCCTTGCTGTCGGTGGAGCGCAACATCCACGACTCGTACCTCACCGTCAAGCAGGTGTGCGACAGCTTTAACTGTCTGGGTGCGAGGAGTACTTCACTCAAGAAAATAAAAGCAGTGTACACTCTCAAAAGAAAATCAGGAAAACCCAAGAAAAAAATCAAGGAAAAAGATTAAGAAAACAGAAAAAATCAGAGAAAATTCAGAAAAAAAAACCAAAGAAAAACCGGTGTGCGCATGAATTTATAGTGAAGTACCCCTCGGGTGTGTCCTGTGTAGAGGTCGTGGCATAAACCGAAGCTAATTTCCGTTTGCTCTCCATACAGTCGCGCTTCCTCGCCTACGAGCCTAGCGACGCGAAGGCGGCGGAGGAGCACTGGATCGTGCCGTTCAACTGCAAGCAGCTGTACTCGCAGTCCCAGGGCGGCCTCCCGTTCGACCAGTTCCTGCTCACTGACCAAGAGGAGATGGGCGTCAAGTTCAGCTCAGAAAACGGCATGACCTACGTCATCTGCAACACGGAACAGGAAGGTTAGGGCTTAAAAAAAAATACTTTCTATAAATTATTTCTGCGTTACAGTTCCATGTTTGGTGGAATGACACTTTTACCGCTCCCCGTTCCAGGCTTCTACCGCGTCAACTACGACCTCACGTCGTGGCGGTTCATCGGCCAGGCCCTCAAGAGCGGGCTCATCCAGAGCGGCACGCAGCGCGGCGTCCTGCTCGACGACGCGCTCACGCTGCTGCGCGCGCGAAAGCTGGACCCCTGGATCGTCCTGTACGTCCTGGAGAACGGCGTCCCCGGCGACGACAGCCTGCCCGTGTGGGGCGCCCTGAGCAAGGGGCTGAGCTTCCTGCGCGGCGCGCTCAGCAGCGACCCGCAGGCCACCGAGGACTTCAACGTGAGTAGCGCCGTGACCCGCCCAAAGGCCAAAATCCCAAAGGCCAAAGGGCCCAAAGGCCCCCGGTCGAGAAGTACTCCATTCACAAAAAACAGATGAAAATAAAATGAGAGTACACCCTCAATGAAAAGCAGAATAAAAACCAAAGTTGTTTAAGAACGCAATCAGGAAAAAAACAGGGAAAGGAAGCGGGGCAATTCAAGATTCTTTTAAAAACTGAAAAATTGGTGTACCCTTGATACTTCTCGTCTCGGGGCCACGTGCGCGTAGAGAAACACGACCTTGACGATGTGAGCTTGTGCCTGTGCAGACGTTCGTGCGCGACCTGACGGCGGAGACGCTCGGCGCCGTGGACTGGTACAACTTCTGGGGCTGGGAGGAGTCGGTGCAGAAGAACGAGGTGCGGCAGATCGTGAGCCGCCTGGCCTGCGACGCGGGCGAGGAGCTCTGCGTCACGTACGCCACAGCGGACAGCATGGCGGAGGTCCAGGGGTCAGTGTCGGATTGAGTTCGAGCAGACGTCGAAATACCCATTTCAGTTCCAGCATCCCCAATCTATCGCCGTTTATTCAAAACATTTTTTTTTCTTGATTGGCGCAGCTACTTGTCAACCACCCATCAGGAGATCCTAGGCGCAAGGCTGTGCCTGGCGTATGCCGGCGCCAACGACTTCTCACATCTCCTCGAGGCGATGCGAAGCAACGACGACTACGACCAGCGCGTGTCGATCGCCTACGCCATGGGCTGCGCCACGGACAAGGACGTGCGGATTGGGTGAGTCCGCCGGTCCTCCGCGTCGTCAGTTGTTTGACCGCGCCGGGCCTCTAACCCGTTCTTTGCTCTCCTTTGCGCCAGGCTGCTCCTGAACATCGTCGAGGACTCCGTCTTCAAGTCCAATGAGATCACGCCCTTCTTCGAGTCCCTGGTCACGCACGGCGGAGTGGACGAGGCTATCATCTTCGTTGCGGACAACGTCATGTTCAACATGCTGAGCATTAGGTAATAGTAATAGTTGGGCCGTAGCGCCCGTCGTGTCGCCCGGCTCGAGTGCGCGGCCTTTAACCACCTCGTCTTGTGTTTAGCGTGGGCAAGGACAAGGCCCTCGAGCTTCTGCAGCTGGTGTCCGAGCGAGTGTACACCGAGCAGCAGTACACTGTGGTGAGTGCAGCGCTGCCGTGCACCCCCCCCCCCCCAAAGCTCCTGCTGGCTTAATTGTTTAGTCAATCTCTGTCCACCAGATCGCCGCGTTCGCAGACCTGAACCCTTCCATACAGACGACCGTAGCCGAGCGATCGGCGGCAAACGCGCTCAAGTTCGCGCAGAACGAGCTGTCGCAGGTGAAGGACTACCTTGCCGTGTACGCCAACAGAAAGCCCGCCCCGACGCCGACCCTGGAGCCTACGTCCTACCGCCTGCCCGGCACGGTGGTGCCCGAGAACTACAACCTCAAGATCACCCCTTACCTGGAACAGGGCAACTTCAACTTTGACGGCAGCGTCGTCATCACGGCGAAGACCAAAGCCGACGTGCAGGAAGTGGTGCTGCACAGCCACAAGCACCTCCACGTAGTGGTCCTCTCCGTCACGGACCTCGTCGCGAACAAGCCCCTGGCAATCAAGGGCACGTCCTTCAACCAGCTATCGGAAATGTTCACCATTTCCCTTGACGAAGTTGTCAAAGCCGATACCGAAATATCGATTAGCATGCAGTTCTCCGCGCCTCTGCTGAAGGACAAACTGGGCTTCTACCTCAGCGACTACCCAGAGGGCGTCAAGTGGAAGTAAGACCGACAGCCTTTAATTTCGTACTTATTCTCAAAGGAAGGCGAATTTCATGGATTTCTGTTCCGCCAGGTACATAGCGACGACCCAGTTCGAGCAGACGTACGCCCGTAAGGCCTTCCCTTGCTTCGACGAGCCGAAATACCGAGCCACGTTTGACATCAGTATCGCTCGGCAGCCGTCTCAGATCGCTCTCTCAAATGCGCCAGTCAAGTCCACATCAGAACCAGAGTCGGTATTTGTGGACGTTTATGGCCAAACTGTTAATTTTATAATCGTGCCTATTACTAATTTTTTCAAATTTCCTTTTTATAACAGTGCTAATGTTGGCAATCGTGTTTGGGACACCTTCTACACAACGCCGCTGATGCCGACTTACCTCGTTGCCTTCATCGTGTCTGAGCTGCAGAAGGTCCCCACCAGCGACCCCAGGATCAACCTGTACGTGCGGCCCGAGGCCGTCCCACAGGCCTCCTTCGCCGCCGAGATCACCCCGAAGATCCTCTCCGAGCTCGAGAAGTTCACCGCCGTTCCCTACGCCATGAGGAAACTCGATCTTGTGGGCATCCCAGACTTTTACTTTGGGGCGATGGAGAACTGGGGCCTCTGCACCTTCAGGTATTCATTTGCCCGTCTGAAATAATTGCTCAGTGTCGTTCTACACATGTCGAGGAATATGATGGGCTTTAACAACTGACCGTAAATTTTAGGGAGAATCGTCTACTCTACACCGAGGGATACGCGACAAAGGAGTACAAGATCTTTGTGGCCGAAATCATCGCTCACGAGTTGACTCACTTGTGGTTCGGGGACTACGTCACGCTGGACTGGTGGAGCTCGGGCTGGCTCAAGGAAGGAATGGCCGAGTTCTTGCAGTACTTCATCCTCGAAAAGGTACTTTTGTGTAGAGCCCCCAGTGAGCAGGCGACGCCGGTTGACGTTTGTCGCCCAGCGGCGTACGTTTGAACGTGCGCGCGGGACGCAAGGCGGGCCGCCAACTCTACACGGGTGCTTGGCGGGCTGGCCTACCCAACGCATCGCAGGCGCTCGGGTAGAAGCCGAAAGGCTTGTACATTCCGGTCCCAGTAACTTTCGTTTTATGTCCCCCAAAACAACAACAGTAGCACATTTTTGAGCGTTGAATCGGCTTGCAGGTGATGGCTGACGACTCTGAGGACTGGTACCCTCTCTCGCGGCTCGGCATAGACGACGTGTTTGACGGCATGTCGTCTGACGCCCTGGAGTACACCACGCCTCTGACCGACGACAACGTCGAGACGCAGGACGAGATAGCCGAACACATGGGCCTCTACACTTACGACAAAGGTGGGCAACAGGAGAACGCTTTATTAAGCCTTGTCGGAACTCTCTGTTTCTCTTTGTCTAACGTTTTTGCAAATTTCAGGAGCCGGACTTCATTACATGCTAATGGGAGCGCTTGGCGAGGAGACGTTCAGAAAGGGGATTAATTACTACCTCAACATTCAGTAAGTTTTATCCAGAAAGCAGATGTTAGCTCTCAGATGTTAGCGTGACTCACCTCCGGTCTCTCTCTCTCCCCATCAGCTCCTATGGCTCGGCCACGCCCGAGGACTACGCGGACGCCCTGCAGATGGCTGCCGACGAGGACAACGCCCTGCCAGAGGACATCTTCGTCATCGACCTCATCCACTCCTGGTCGGCCAAACCCGGCCTGCCGGTCGTGAC